AAGAGCTAGTAAGAGTTGAAGTTAGTATGGCACATGGTTGCCCCCTAGTGGTGTGTAAGTTTGATGTATTCTTTGTATTCCAATTGTTTACCTCTAGTTCTTGTGAACACAATATGAAGCATAACTTTAAATATTGTTCATATATACTAAATTATTATTTTTTTTAAATTTCTGCTTTGACACAATCAGTATTATATAAAGCGCTATACAAATAAAGGTGACTTAACTTTATATTTTTAAAATGTAATTTATTTCAGTGATGGCAGAGCTGAATTTCAGCAGTCATTACTCCAGTCTTCAGTGTCACATGATCCTTCAGAAATTATTCTAATATGCTAATTTGGAGCTTAAGAAACATTCCTTGTTATTATCAATGTTGAATACAGTTTTTTAACTGAATTGAATAAAGTTTTAACTATGTAAAAGTCTTTACTGTCACTTTTGATCAATTAGATGCATCCTTGCTGAATAAAAGTAAAAAAAAAAAATAAAAAAAAACTTTACTGACCTCAACTTTTGAACAGTAGTGTTAACCACAAATGTACATTGGTGTGTTATCATGCAGGTTGTGGGTTTTTGCTTTTTTTATTATAAGACTACAACATTTGTCATTTACTTACTCATTCTCTATATGTCTCTGTTTCAGGCTTGTGGAACCTAGTCTTCTTATTTTCAAATCTTTCGTTGGTCTTCCTCATGCCATTTGCCTATTTCTTTACTGAATCAGAAGGATTTGCTGGGTCGAAAAAGGTAAAAATGTCATTTGTGTAATGGTGAACGCAAATCCAGAGCACTTGAACTCCGTTCTGTATCTGATGTCCATTTGTTATGTGTGTTTTCTCCTCTGAAAGGGCATTATGGCGAGGGTCTATGAGACTGCCGTGATGCTGCTGCTCCTCAGTCTGCTGGTGCTGGGCATTGTGTGGGTGGCATCAGCCCTCCTCCATCTCAACACCGCACGTGAGAGTCTTTATGGTGAGGCTGTGTAACATTAGAGACTTTGCACTGCACTTGTTCAGTCTCTTTGATTGCCTTCAGTTGAATAGAGCACAGTTTATAATGCTAGCTAGACTCCAAAATTTCCTCTTAATTGTATAAACGCAAGATAAAGAAATAGTCTTATTAACAGTCTTCTGTTTTTCTTGTGCTTTTCAGACCTGTGGGAATATTACCTGCCCCATCTTTATTCTGGAATCTCACTTTTTGGAGTTCTGCTGCTTTTGTGTAAGTGTGTTTAAATGTATATACTATTTATATGTTGTTGGTGGGTTATAGTTTTTTTGTTTTAAATCATTTGATGTTAACGTTTAGTTTGGTATTTTATTGCCTTTGACGTCCTGTAATTATATATTTCTTGCATCTCATTTCTTTCTCTTTTTTTTGTTATAGTGTGCACACCCTTTGGGCTTTCACGTATGTTTAGCATCACTGGGAGCTTATTGGTCAAACCTCGGGTAAGTAGACATAATACCTGTTAAAATTACATTTTGATTTAGATGTATTTGCACAGGCGGTATGAAAATGAATGTTTATGAAAGACGTCACTTACACTCACGAAGGCTGCATTTATTTGATTAAAAATAGGTATAAAAACACTAATTATTACAACAATTAAAACTAAATAACTAAACTAACTAAAAATAGCTATTTTTTATTTTAATATTTTAAAATGTAATTTATTTCTGTGATGGCAAAGCTGAATTTTTGGCAGCCATTACTCCAGTCTTCAGTGTCACATGATCTTTCAGAAATCATTCTAATATGCTGATTTGATGTGCAAGAAATATTTCTTATCATTATCAGCGTTGAAAATGATTCAGGGTTGTGCTGCTGAATATTTTTATGTAAACCATGATATATATTTTTCCTTGATGAATAGAAAGTTAAACAGCATTTATTTTAAATGTTAACATTATACATGTCTTTACTTTCTTTACTGTCACTTTTAATGTATTCTTGCTGAATAGAAGTATTAATATCTTTGAGATGAAAAAAATCTTACTGAGCGCCAAATGTTTGAAGGTTGTTTTTTTTTTTTTTTAAGTTGTTGGAGAACCTAGAAGAGACCATGAACTGCACAGTGTTTGAAGAGGCCTCTCTGTCCAGGAAGTTGAAAAGTGAGTATCATGATGTGAGAAAGGCATACTGGCTGCTAAGGAAGTGACCCCACCTTATAAAGATTTCTTTCTCTTTTCTCTCATTTTCTTTTTAATGTCCAAAGAAGCTTTATTGGCATGTCAAACAAGGATTTACATTTCCAAAACTCTTATACACTCCTTCTCTTTCAGGTAACACCTGTTGGATTAGTGCAAACACAGAGTCCATCAACAACGAATTTTTGAGTGTGCAGTCCAAACGCATTGCTTTAGGTACAAACATGCCTCTCAGAGTGTCGAATACATCAGTTAACAATCATGAATTGCTCTTCATCCTTGCTGCTTCCATTATAGAGTTGCGGAAAAGAGCGTCTCCATGGCAACGCAACCTGGGATACCCAGTGGCCATGCTGCTGCTTTTAGCTTTAACTGTAAGAGTAAACCTTATGGAATACAGAATACTTATTCTGGCTACAATTATACCGTTGTGCTAAAACCACATTTATGGTCTTTCTCAGGCGGTGTCTGTGCTGATGGTGTGTTTCCATGTGCTCGAACTGCTCTTCGATGAGTCTGCTATGCCTAGAGGAATGGAGGTGAGATGCATGAAAATGACCCAATTATATTTGTCTTTTCAGGATTCATAGATGGACCTGTAAATGTAATTCACAGAAAAAGATTTCAGGGCATTTTCATAATTCAATTTACTCACCCTCATATAGTACTAAAAACATCCAAAAGCATCATAAAAGTAGTCCATGCAGTATTGCAGTAGTAATTTATCATCATAATTTCACATTGGTTGGTTTTCTCTGTTGCAGGACCCTCACTTGGGCCTTGCCTCATTCTCCATGTTCGGTTCTCTGGGAGCTGCAGTGCAGGTGGTCATCATCTTGTATCTCATGGTCTCCTCGGTTGTCGGTTTCTACAGCTCTCCACTCTTCACCGGTTTGCTGCCACGTGCACAGGACACAACCCTCACACAGGTACAGAGATCTCTCATACTCATCATAAAACAGCTGTGGGAATTGGATATTATACATTCACATGTGGTGGCTCTTTATAGTCAAATTAAATTGTCGTTTTTGTCTCTCCACAGATTATAGGGAACTGTGTTTCTCTTTTAATACTCAGTTCAGCCTTGCCTGTTTTCTCCCGCACATTGGGTAAGTATTTTAAAATTACTGTAAAATGTTATTTAATAGCGACATGGTTTTAAAGTCTTTTGTAGGCCAAGATTTCTGCACTGATTTAAGGGAAAAATCTGCTGAATTATTTAATTGTTTTATTTAAACTGTGTTAAATGTATCTTAGAGCACTATACTCGGTTACACTTTATTTTAAGGTGTCCTTGTTACAGTGCAATTATACGTACTGAGTAATATTAATTAACTACATGTACTTACTATGTGGTTAGGGTTAGGATTAGGATTTGGGTTTGGCTTATGGTTACTTGCATGTAATTATGCATAATTAATTGTTATTATAATAGTAAGTACATGTAACATGTGTAACAAGGACACCTTAAAATAAAGTGTTACCCTATACTCTTATTGGTGGTTTAAAGTCATAATCAAATTAACAAAAACATTTAATAAATGGATACTTAAGGTCCACCTGTCAAACTTTATGAATGGCAAGAGTTCCATTTGTAATGCTGTTTTGTCTGTCCACTAGAGGGCACTAAATAGCAATATTTCAGCAATATGTTTCTATTATGTAATACAATTAGAAAAATATTAAACTTTATAAGGTTATGTTCCTCTTTCTAATTGCATGCAGGAATCACAAGGTTTGATCTGCTTGGAGACTTTGGACGGTATAACTGGCTTGGCAGTTTCCACATTGTTTTCCTGTACAACATGCTTTTTGCTGGACTCACGTCCGCCTGCCTCATCAACACAGTCACATGGGCCTTGCAAAGAGAACTCATCCGTGCCTTTGGTTAGTTGCTTTTTATTTATTTATTTGAGATGGAAGCATTCCATGAATAGCATTTCTCATGCTGATTTATTTATTTTTACCAATTATAATTTTGCCTAGTTTAAATATATTTTTTATTTATATTTTATTTTATTTATATCACGTGTGTGTGTGTGTCTATATGTATGTAAAAATGTATATGTGTGTATTTTTTATGTTTAAACATAAATATATTTAAAAATAACTTTCTTTTAATACAATACATATAATATTTAAGACCTGTGGATATACTTTTAAAGCCCTTTATTTTAGACATTACACCACAAATGCTGTCTTTAACTTGTACTGAACTCACAACATTCCTTTTGTAACACTTAATGCTAACGTTTATCTCAAGGAAAATGTGTCAGGAGAAAGATTTGTGCATGTACACATTGTATCTTGAAAGGACAAGGGGTGTGCTACGCTGCCATTTGCCAGTGTTTGTAGTTAGTCTTTGGGTGAGGTGTTCCCCGCACAGGCCATGTTTCTCTATGGGTAGGTCTCTTTCCTCAGATAGAAAAAGCACAATTCTCTCAGGAAAGTGAGAGGGGACAGAAGGGGAGAAGGGTTCCTTGGGGACCTCAGGGCGTCAAACTCCTTCTGGAAGACACACGCCCATCGCCCTCCACCTAATACAAACAAGACTGCTGAACGTGAACACACACACTCGCTCACATAGAACATCTTCAGATAGCATCTCTTTTTCTTTATTCTCCCAACTGGCTTTTGTTCTTTGATTGATTGGTTTGCTTTCAACCCAAACATCGCCTGCCAAAATGACCTTTTCTGGTGGTTAGATCAAGGTTACCGCTCTGTTGTTTACTGTCCTTTTTCCTTTCTCCAGGTCTCCACAGACTGCCTCGATCAACCATCCCTCTCAAACTACTCCTAGCCAATGGACTCTCAAAGATTAATTGAAGAGCGATCAGTGCTTAGAGGAATGGAGGTGAGATGCATGACAATAGCGCATTTATATTTGTCATTAGATGGACCTATAAAAGTAATTAATGGAAAAAGATTCAAGGACATTTTTGTAATTTAATTTACTCCGCCTTGTGTGCTACTAAAGCCTTATAATAGTAGTCCATAGAGTATTGCAGTGATAATTTATTATCATAATCTCACAATGGTTGTTTTTTTCTGTTGCAGGACCCTCACTTGGGCCTTGCCTCATTCTCCATGTTCGGTTCTCTGGGAGCTGCAGTGCAGGTGGTCATCATCTTGTATCTCATGGTCTCCTCGGTTGTCGGTTTCTACAGCTCTCCACTCTTCACCGGTTTGCTGCCACGTGCACAGGACACAACCCTCACACAGGTACAGAGATCTCTCATACTCATCATAAAACAGCTGTGGGAATTGGATATTATACATTCACATGTGGTGGCTCTTTATAGTCAAATTAAATTGTCGTTTTTGTCTCTCCACAGATTATAGGGAACTGTGTTTCTCTTTTAATACTCAGTTCAGCCTTGCCTGTTTTCTCCCGCACATTGGGTAAGTATTTTAAAATTACTGTAAAATGTTATTTAATAGCGACATGGTTTTAAAGTCTTTTGTAGGCCAAGATTTCTGCACTGATTTAAGGGAAAAATCTGCTGAATTATTTAATTGTTTTATTTAAACTGTGTTAAATGTATCTTAGAGCACTATACTCGGTTACACTTTATTTTAAGGTGTCCTTGTTACAGTGCAATTATACGTACTGAGTAATATTAATTAACTACATGTACTTACTATGTGGTTAGGGTTAGGATTAGGATTTGGGTTTGGCTTATGGTTACTTGCATGTAATTATGCATAATTAATTGTTATTATAATAGTAAGTACATGTAACATGTGTAACAAGGACACCTTAAAATAAAGTGTTACCCTATACTCTTATTGGTGGTTTAAAGTCATAATCAAATTAACAAAAACATTTAATAAATGGATACTTAAGGTCCACCTGTCAAACTTTATGAATGGCAAGAGTTCCATTTGTAATGCTGTTTTGTCTGTCCACTAGAGGGCACTAAATAGCAATATTTCAGCAATATGTTTCTATTATGTAATACAATTAGAAAAATATTAAACTTTATAAGGTTATGTTCCTCTTTCTAATTGCATGCAGGAATCACAAGGTTTGATCTGCTTGGAGACTTTGGACGGTATAACTGGCTTGGCAGTTTCCACATTGTTTTCCTGTACAACATGCTTTTTGCTGGACTCACATCCGCCTGCCTCATCAACACAGTCACATGGGCCTTGCAAAGAGAACTCATCCGTGCCTTTGGTTAGTTGCTTTTTATTTATTTATTTGAGATGGAAGCATTCCATGAATAGCATTTCTCATGCTGATTTATTTATTTTTACCAATTATAATTTTGCCTAGTTTAAATATATTTTTTATTTATATTTTATTTTATTTATATCACGTGTGTGTGTGTGTCTATATGTATGTAAAAATGTATATGTGTGTATTTTTTATGTTTAAACATAAATATATTTAAAAATAACTTTCTTTTAATACAATACATATAATATTTAAGACCTGTGGATATACTTTTAAAGCCCTTTATTTTAGACATTACACCACAAATGCTGTCTTTAACTTGTACTGAACTCAGAACATTCCTTTTGTAACACTTAATGCTAACGTTTATCTCAAGGAAAACGTGTCAGGAGAAAGATTTGTGCATGTACACATTGTATCTTGAAAGGACAAGGGGTGTGCTACGCTGCCATTTGCCAGTGTTTGTAGTTAGTCTTTGGGTGAGGTGTTCCCCGCACAGGCCATGTTTCTCTATGGGTAGGTCTCTTTCCTCAGATAGAAAAAGCACAATTCTCTCAGGAAAGTGAGTGGGGACAGAAGGGGAGAAGGGTTCCTTGGGGACCTCAGGGCGTCAAACTCCTTCTGGAAGACACGCCCATCGCCCTCCACCTAATACAAACAAGACTGCTGAACGTGAACACACACACTCGCTCACCTAGAACATCTTCAGATAGCATCATTTAATTGTTTTATTTAAACTGTGTTAAATGTATCTTAGAGCACTATACTCGGTTACACTTTATTTTAAGGTGTCCTTGTTACAGTGCAATTATACGTACTGAGTAATATTAATTAACTACATGTACTTACTATGTGGTTAGGGTTAGGATTAGGATTTGGGTTTGGCTTATGGTTACTTGCATGTAATTATGCATAATTAATTGTTATTATAATAGTAAGTACATGTAACATGTGTAACAAGGACACCTTAAAATAAAGTGTTACCCTATACTCTTATTGGTGGTTTAAAGTCATAATCAAATTAACAAAAACATTTAATAAATGGATACTTAAGGTCCACCTGTCAAACTTTATGAATGGCAAGAGTTCCATTTGTAATGCTGTTTTGTCTGTCCACTAGAGGGCACTAAATAGCAATATTTCAGCAATATGTTTCTATTATGTAATACAATTAGAAAAATATTAAACTTTATAAGGTTATGTTCCTCTTTCTAATTGCATGCAGGAATCACAAGGTTTGATCTGCTTGGAGACTTTGGACGGTATAACTGGCTTGGCAGTTTCCACATTGTTTTCCTGTACAACATGCTTTTTGCTGGACTCACATCCGCCTGCCTCATCAACACAGTCACATGGGCCTTGCAAAGAGAACTCATCCGTGCCTTTGGTTAGTTGCTTTTTATTTATTTATTTGAGATGGAAGCATTCCATGAATAGCATTTCTCATGCTGATTTATTTATTTTTACCAATTATAATTTTGCCTAGTTTAAATATATTTTTTATTTATATTTTATTTTATTTATATCACGTGTGTGTGTGTGTCTATATGTATGTAAAAATGTATATGTGTGTATTTTTTATGTTTAAACATAAATATATTTAAAAATAACTTTCTTTTAATACAATACATATAATATTTAAGACCTGTGGATATACTTTTAAAGCCCTTTATTTTAGACATTACACCACAAATGCTGTCTTTAACTTGTACTGAACTCACAACATTCCTTTTGTAACACTTAATGCTAACGTTTATCTCAAGGAAAATGTGTCAGGAGAAAGATTTGTGCATGTACACATTGTATCTTGAAAGGACAAGGGGTGTGCTACGCTGCCATTTGCCAGTGTTTGTAGTTAGTCTTTGGGTGAGGTGTTCCCCGCACAGGCCATGTTTCTCTATGGGTAGGTCTCTTTCCTCAGATAGAAAAAGCACAATTGTCTCAGGAAAGTGAGAGGGGACAGAAGGGGAGAAGGGTTCCTTGGGGACCTCAGGGCGTCAAACTCCTTCTGGAAGACACACGCCCATCGCCCTCCACCTAATACAAACAAGACTGCTGAACGTGAACACACACACTCGCTCACATAGAACATCTTCAGATAGCATCTCTTTTTCTTTATTCTCCCAACTGGCTTTTGTTCTTTGATTGATTGGTTTGCTTTCAACCCAAACATCGCCTGCCAAAATGACCTTTTCTGGTGGTTAGATCAAGGTTACCGCTCTGTTGTTTACTGTCCTTTTTCCTTTCTCCAGGTCTCCACAGACTGCCTCGATCAACCATCCCTCTCAAACTACTCCTAGCCAATGGACTCTCAAAGATTCATTGAAGACCGGTCAGCTTTTTGAGATATAATTGGCTATTGAAGCCCTTTACCTTCTGGAGAAGGTTCTGGCTCCCAGTCTGTGGATTTCTCCAATTGGACCAGTGCTATTTTTGGTCCATTTTAGGTGAATAGGCACCAAAGCTGTTTACAAACGTTGCCTGGACAATATTTATCGACCGATGGGACCTCCTAAGTGGGATTCTGCAACTGCAGGTTTATGCATTGTTTACTTCAGTAATATTCAATCATATTACTGCATTTAATAAAGGGATGTCAAATCACTGGACGCCTTGAACATACGGCATATGAGAAATGAACAATGGTTACAGAGGACTTTGACATGCATCCAGACAGGAGAGCTATTTCAGAGGATGACATCACAGCCATGACCGCGTTTCCTTTTCCTGGTGGTGGAATGAGAGTGTTGAGTTCTGTCCTGGTGGGCCCCCCATGCATCCCCTTCACTATTTTTAGTGTCATCCAATGAATTAAATTACTGTGGGTCCTTACACCACACAGGCATTGGAAGTCCAGTCTGATGGGGTTTGTCTGCTTCTAAATGAAGTGAAGAACCTGAGAAAAGGGATGAAAGTGGAACATCTTGGAGATGATGTTTGTTGTGAGGAAACAAATGGGGTTCTAGCTTGTAAAATACACTTTTTGTAGAGATTAGGTTTTAAAATGTATGTTTAAAAATGATGGCTGACGGCGATTTCAAGTTTTATGCCAAGACAACTGTGAATGTTTAGGGATTTTGTTCCCTTTTTTGTTATATTTAATATGTGATTTTTTTAAAGTACAATATTGTATTATGAAACGCTGACACAATTATGCAAATCTAACTTGACTTCCTTTCAAAAACTTGTGCTGATGACCAAAAGAAGGGGTTTGGCCCAATTAAGAACACCTAGTTCGGGCAATATGGTCAAAGTTTGGCTAGTTCATATGTTTTGGTTTGAACTGTGTAGAGGGACAATCAACGCACATGACCATTTCCTGTTTCACAGACACTACGTTGCTGGGATTTCATAAATGTGGACTTTTCGATTCAATAATCACTCGTTTTATATGGAGCAGTATTGTGGTGTACACATGTTTATTATTTTGTATGATTCTGTTATTTATGAATTTGTTTCTGTATCAGCATATTTTTTTAAACGTCCTTCAAGCAGTGGTCAGTAGAGGACAGTATGCCACAAATCCATCATTACACATTTCTCACCCATATTTTAATAACATTATACTTGTATAAAACAGATTTTCTTTTTCTTTGAGTATCATTTACAGTAATGTAGCTATTCAAAGGTAAACGTAAATCATTGTTTAAAGAAAACTGTCATAATTTACTTGCTATCATGTTGTTTCAAACCAGTATGACTTTCTTTTGTGGAACACAATGTAAGATATTTTGTGAATGTTTGGGAACGTTTTGAAGAATGTTGAAGACCGTTTGGGGTCTAAAACAACAATAGACCCCACTGACAACACTGAGATATTTTTCAAAATATTATCTTGTGTGTTAATACAGGTTTGTAACATTGTGAGGATAAGTAAATGATGACTTAATTTTTGGATGAACTATCCCTTTAAGTATTTTTCTATTGTCACAAAATGCATTTTTACAGCTCAGAAAAACTGGATTCATGATGACAGACTGTCCTGCATTACTGGATCATATATGGATGTCTATTTTACTTCTTTAGTAGAGGGAACAAAGAAAATACAGTGAGCATTACTCATTTAAAAAAAAAAGAAATTGTTGACATTTTAATTGTTTGCTTGGAAAAATCCAGCTGCATCCTTTAATGCAAGTTAGCAACTGTGACAAACCATTTGTCCTCATTCCCTTCGAAATGCAGAGAAAAGAAAAATACATGTGTTTACACCGGTTTTTCCAACCAATGTGTCATTTGTGAGTCATTTTGAACCCATTTTTGGTTCTGGGTCTGCTAAAGACCTTTCCATAGAGGTCAGCATACATTTCTTGCCATCTGGAGCACCTGACCACTGCTTTAATGGTGCCGTGGTGGTTATGTTTAGCTTTGGTGTTAGTGTGCTTGTCTGTCCATGCATCTACCCCCAGCTGTCCCTCCGTCCATAGCTGGCCGGCTTTAATCGGGGTCTTTATTTTGCCCCGGGTCTGTCAGCAGGCCCGTAGAGACGCCGCGGCTGACCCATCCTGTGCTTTCCCCTAACGGATGCCCATGGCAGATAAAAGCCCTATCATCATCAGGAGAGTGCAAGCCACTTGCTTTCACCCCCCACCTCTATATTGTCCATCCGTTTTCCTCGTTGAGTGTTCATTTCCTTTTCTTTTTTTTCTTTTCTCTTAAGCAGAAAAATAAATCCCGGCCTCTGATTATGATTTGTCTGTCTTGATTATTGTTTTCTCTCCGTTTCTTGTGCGCTTTGTTGGATGTCCTCGAGATTTTTTATCGTTGAATTTCCTCTGCTAAAACAACTTTACCAAGAAGTTTTTACCGAAACTGCCATTTTTAGGCAGTGAGTTTAAGCAGAAGTTATGACAAGCAAAAGTTAAAATAACATTTAAGATTTATTATATATTTAACATACAATTAATATTTAGCGTTTATTAAACCACTTTGCAATAGGCCTAATCAAACAAATATTACATATTTATGTTTAGCAATTTAATCTGGCAAATTTTTCATTGTCTGTAACCGGAGTATGAGAACATTGA